TGACCCCCTCGGGCCCGAGTTGCAGCTCCGGAGCTATCCCTGCACCTCGGAGGGCCAGTCGCAGTCTGGACCGAGCTGATCTGCGAGGGGGAGGGGGGCCGGGAGGGAGAGGAGGGGGAGGGAGAGGAGGGGGAGGGGGGGGAGGGAGAGGGGGGGTAGGGGGAGCGGGAGGGGGGAGAAGGGGGATGAGCAGAGACGATTGCGATGTGGCGCGGCGGATTTTGAAGACGCATGGCGGTTGTCGCACGGTGTATGTACGAACCGCCTCTCCCTCCCTCCCTCCCGCCCATTCTCTTCCCTTCCTTTCCAACAATCCAACAACCGGGCGAAGGGGTTGACGACAAGTCACAAGCGTTCCTCAGGAATGCGGCGGGGGGGTTGTCCGTCAAAGCCCGGAGACAAGGGACTATGCGGGTACTTCTCTCCTCGCCCTCCTCTCCTCCTCCTCCTCCTCCCCCCTCTCCAAGCAGCACACTCACGCCCACCCACCCGCCTACCCACCTGACCAACAGCGTCTCCAGGTACTGTGTCCGGGCCTGCGGTGTGAAGGACACCAGCATACGGAAGGTGGTCCCGGGCGGGACGGGTCGCAGCGCATTGACGCAGCTGAACACCTCCCGCACGTCGAGGGGCTCCGCGGACAGGGTCATCGGCGCGGGGCCTGCGACATAACATCGCATGACACATCGCATGAAATGACATGAAATGTCGCCAAAAAGAGGAGAAAACCGGTTGCGGTGGGGGAAAGGGTCTGTTGGTATGTTGGCGGTTTTGCGGTTACGACGGGATGTGGCGGGGGGTGGGGGGCCGGGGAGGGTGGGGGGAGACAAAGGACAAACCCTAAAACCCTAAAAACCGTTCAGAGAAGGAATCTCGGCCCCCGAACCCCATCCCCATGCACATATACATACATATAGACAGACATACAACCACTGCGCCCCTGCAGCCCCAAACCCTAAGAGGTCCTACAAAACACATCCCTCCTCTCCGCACCCTCGTTGCCCACTTCCAGCGTCCTCACGACCCGCTGTCCCACGGGAACCGGTCCAAAGTCCAGACAGTGACACTGATGCAGCGCCACGTACGGCAGCGGGGTATGCAGTACGAGGTCCGGCAACGTCGCACACGTGGACAGCTGCAGGTGCAGCTCCTGTGTCGTACTGGCAGCTGCGGCCGCCGCCGTCGCCGTGGCGGCCGGGGTTTGCTGCTGCTGCTGCGATGGCTCTTGTTGCGGTCGGATATAGCACGTGATGGTGTGTTCGCGGTAGCGGTACCAGGAGGAGGCGGCGGCGGCGCCGTACAGCCGCCGCCACTGGGCACTGACGGCGCTGCCAGAGGCCACATCGGCGCCGTGCTCGCCGCCGCCGTCAGCGTCGACGGCCCCTGTTGATTCGCCGCCGGCAGTGTTTCCACCCTGAAGTGAGAAAAAAAGGAGGAAGAGATAAAAAAAGGAAAAAGCATAAAATCCGTCCCTTTCTCTCTCCTATCTATCCTGCCTTCATACATCATCCGCCCTCCCCCCTAATCCCCCTTCCCTCTGCACCATTCTGTCTCTATATATTTCGGCAGCACCTTTCAATCTCTGGTATATCAGCATCCCTCTCGTTCGCCTGTGGTTGGTTCGTCTTTCCGCCTCTCCTTACCCTTCCCAACCCCCTTCCCTCCTCCTCCTCCTCCTAGCCCCCCGCTCACCTTCTGACCGGGGGTCGGCGACCCGGCCCGTCCTCCTCCCCCACCTCCACCGCGCTTCCCTCCCGCCACTTTTCCCCCCTTAGGCGGCAACCGTGTT